AATCGGGGATGACAGGGACAATGTGGGAGGAGGATGGGTCATAACAGAGGGAGGGGGATGGGGAATCTAGGATGGGAAAACAAAAGGCAAGGTATGCAGGACACAAGAATTGGGAAATTATTTGCTGAGAACATATATGTTGACGTGCTTGATTAAGCCAATGCACAGTGTATTTTGTATGGAAAATTCATTTGTGTGTTGTGATGGGAAAAAAAATTATAATAAAAAATAAACTATAAAAAAAAGAGAGAAGAGGATAGAGAAAGATAACAAGTGAACAATAGAGAGGATGTTAGTGAGAAACAGATATGGTTTATTATCTGTTGATGATGACGTGTGTAGTATTCTCGACTGGACTGGTCTGGGAAGTATTTCATGATGGGTGAAGTCTTTTAACAAGCAAAATGAGAAATAGTGATTGACTGTTTTAAAAAATTATAATAATGATAATTATTGGGAAATGCATGGAAAAGACTTTGAATGATAAAGCGGGGAGATCGATGCCTCTGTATTGACTGACATGCATGACATTCCCTTTTGAAAAAGCAATGAAAGTCAATGTAAAGTTATATGTAATCCAATGTAATATAAAGAAGATTATGATGATAATATAAATAAAAAAAAAGAAAAAAGAAAAAAATGTAAAAAGAATACTTGGGCAGGGCTGAATTGAGAAGGTTTATGTGTGACTAGTATGCTGGGCATTTGCTTTTTAACAATTTGAGTAGTTGACATGTAAATATTTTCTCAAAAATATTTAAAATAATAATGCTTCCGTTGTTATAGGGTCACAAACAAAATTATACAAAAGTATAAGAAATATTTTGAACATTTTCTTTAAAATTCAGTATTTCGAAATTTTGAAAGTTATTAACTCTCAAGAATTATGGAGTATGAGTTAAAATTTTTTGATATGTAAAGTGAATGTTTGTGGGAAAATATAAAAATAAATAAAAGAGAAAGAAAGAAAGAGACTCAAAAAAAAAAAAAAGATACAGTAGAAAGAGAGAATTCAAAAAAACAGGAGAGAGTCCAGGCACTCCTTCACAATACAGTTTGAAGGTACTGGCCTTCAAAGGAAAGAGCAGGTGGCTTGTAGATGAGAACACAGCTCTGCAGCTGGCCTGGTCTCACCACTTAACAGCTCTGTGACTTTGGATCAGTGAATAGACTTCTCTGGGCCTCGTCTGCCTCATCTGTTAAGCAACAAGAGTGAGCATGATGACTTCAAAAGCATGCTGTGAGGACTCCAGGAAACCACCTGTGCTGTAGCATGGGGTAGATGGCCACATCCTTGCACACACTCTGGGATTTTCCCAGCAGCTCTTGGCAATGCCTGTCTTAGCATAAAGCCTTCCTTGAAACTAACACAAGAAACCTCCCTTGTGCCCAGTCAAGGTTTGCTTCCTGGATTTGTATTGTTCAATTCCTCAGCAAAAGCAGAGAAACTTACTTCACAATGGAAAAATCAGCTTAGCAGAGAGAGAAAGTCTTCTTTAATTCACAGAAGTTGCTCATATGAAAGCGAGACAGTCATCAGACAGGAGCACCCAAGTTTACCAGGCTCAGGATTTTCCACAGGTGGGTGAAGACGAAATGCACATGAAAGCACCCCAGCCTTGCTTCGTTTACTCCTCATACGGTTGCTAAACATTTGACAGAGGATGTGTTACCATTTTAAACCAAATGCTGCTCCTGAAAGCTGGGGCATTATAGAAAGTATGAGTTTTATAGCTCTGGACCCAATGGCAGTTCTACCACATTGCATGCAGATTTTTAATTACGTGATTTCAAAATATCAGGCAGTAAGAAAAGCCATGGTGCATTTTTGCATAGAAAAAATACATGACTTTCCCAACAACCCAATAACGTGACAACCCATAACATGACTGAGCTTTGGGACCAGCAGATGGCATAATGGTTACATCGCTGAACTCCAACACAGTTGACTATAGTTCAAGTCCTGGACCCGGTGACTTGAAACTCACACCAGGTATGTGTGCATGTGTGCCCAAAATCCTGAGGGAAGAGTGGAGGAGAAGAGATTGCTTTCTGTCTCTCTGACACACTCACCCTGTAGCAAAAATCTCTAAAAACAAAACAAAACAAAACAAAACAAAACAAAAAAACCTGGACTTCTCTTCAGGTAAAAAATTTGAAATAATGCAACCCCCTTCCCTAATTCTACCACCAACTTGAAAGTCTACTGACAATCACATAATTTGATCTCAGATCTGAGTGAAGTAAGTAAACTAAACTGAGTTTATGCTAGCACTACCTGGGGACACTCAGTGCAGCTGGTAAACAAAACTCCCTCCTACTGTTTTGTTGGTATTGGTCTTGAAATAGGTGTTTTGAATTATGCAACGACTCTGGGAACATATTCCTCAAATAAAACATGACCTCTCTGTGTGTGTTTTTCAGTTAATTGTTAAGAACCAAAACTCCAGACAGATGCCTGAAGCCTAACAACAGCTGAGCAACATGGAACCAGCAATGTGGAACAGACTGCTATGAAAAGAGGGAAGCGAAGACTGCTTTATAAGGTATGCTCTGAATCTAGTGGATGTACAGTGAGTGATGTCACCCCTCTAATCTGTCAAGTGCATGCATTTATAAAGTGACACTGACTCAGTATCTAGGGCACACTCAGCGTTCCAATAGTGCTACCGGGTGCTTTAGTCTCTCTTCAGGCTCTTGTAGTCACTAAGAAAGGATTCTCAGGCTCACAGGAACATTTGGGAACCACTTTTAGATTTTAGCAAGTGCTTTCACATAGACTAACTTACATGTTTATGATGTCCATAGTAACTCGGTGAGACAAGCAAGATGGAAAAACTAAAATGCAAAGAAGATAAGAAAGTTGCAAAAAGTTCCCAAACTAGGCAGTCCGAGACCCAGGTCAGTAGCTCATTACGTCATGCTAAGCCATGCTCATGCTTCCTGAGGAAATGGTCTAAGAGGAGATAGGTGGCTCTCTACTCAAATAAGGATAAAATTCATTTGCCCTCACATCACAAACCATCTGTCTGCTGTTTGGGGCTCCCCAGTGTCCATCCTTTCTTACTCCTTCCAAGGATATGCATGTGAGCCCACAAGCCAATTAGATCCTCTCTTCTGGGAGCCTTGATTTCAACCAACAGAAGAACAGAAAGGAAATGGCTGGGGCTCATTCAGGGAGCCTCAGTACTCTGACGATGCTACACAATGATTCCTGCT